TATTTTTTATAACCTTTAAACCTTTGAGGATATTTGTTGTTTCTAGCCTTGAAACATTTAAGGATATATTTGAAGTCTTTTAGGGTAAGTGTTCTTTCTGATCTTGATATCTTTTAAGATAAGTCTTGTTTCTAAACTTGAAATTTCCTCACTTGTACCATGTTTCGCCCATCGTATTCGTAGCAAGCACCCTTCTCTAGAAAGGCATCTCGCTTACCTTTAGTCTCTTCATCATCTGTTAGGAAAGTGTCAACCATTCAATGTCATATGAGAGATATATATGAAATTCTTTCTTTCTATGTGCCGTGTCCTTTCAGCACGTAGGCGATCATGACTCTCAACCCCCCTCTCTCTTGAAGCTCTCAACATCCCCTTCCCTCTTCTACCTCACCCAGACCATGATCTGTCTTGTCTGTTGTTTTCCCTTGACTCTCTGTCCCTCTATTCGACCCTTGCGTATCATATTATCCAGGCCCTCCTTGCTCATTATGTGTCTAGATTTGAAGAATTAAGATTGCTTGGTGGGAGCCGTCTCATAACATAGCAGTTATCGAGAAGAGGCTGTCTAGATAGAACATTTTCTTATTAGTGAAATACGAAGGCAATTAGAATTAGTCGACTCAGTGTATGTGGCACGGTGGGTTCTGTATATAAAAGTCTGGATTTCTGAAGAGGATAAATTTAGCTCGCTTTAACATATGCCAAGAAGATGGCGAATAGCCGAGCGAGAGGCAAGCAGCGTTTCTTCTACGGGATACGTGTTTAAGCATAGAAAATAATCCATTACCTACAAGGCTGGGTAAATGATTCTGGTCTCTCTCAAGGAAGGATAGTGAGGATTGAGCATCCTCAGCTCAGATATGGTAGCAATAGTCCATTTTGGTCTGATGTGGTCCCTGTAAAGTCAGAGAGTTATACGGAATCGTGTAGCTTCTGAAGATTCAAAGAACCGACAATTTCCCTAGAATCTTTAGCAATTAATCGTAAATACAAGTTCCACTTGAGGTCTGGATTGATGCTTAAGGTATAAGGCCATCTTTAAATCTTAAAATTTACCTCCACGCAGATAGGAGCCTCTAATGCCACAATGACAAAAAGATAACCTTAAATTCTGTGATGTAGCAGCACTGGTAAGGAGGCTAGTATGCTTGCGTCATGGATCTCTGTAAGCTAACAAATTCCTCAGTATACTAACTACCGATGTAAATATTTCTAGTTGAAAACAGTCATATTATAATATTGTACTACAATTATAAATGTAATAAATTACTCCTTGATTTCATATTAAAATGTAGTATTCAAGAGACGATCACACAACAATTAGCAAAAATCCCGTTGAATAAAATGCCAAAGTAACAAGTAACGTAATTGTCTGTATTTCTGAGAAGTGGTATTATGTAAACTATTTACATTATTCGGAATAAGGCCGGAGCGTACAACGGCCGAAACGTTGTAATAAATATGGCGTCAAAGATGAGGACAATAGTCCGAATAATATAAATAGTGAACACGTAACGTAAAGCTTTCGTTCTTGCTTTGTAGAGATAATGTTGTACTAACACCAATCGTTATCTTTCAAAATAGTGTTGAATAACAACATTAAGGATAACATATAATCTATATTTCTAATTAAAATTCATTATAACTGTGGTGTTAAATACATTTAGTATAACATAGAAATTTACGGTATTTAGTTTGCATTGTTAAGCAAGGAAATATTTAAGATGCCATAAAATCTTTATTCTCATTAAAGAATACGCAACTTTTGTTTTTATTCGTAGGAGCCGTAAGAATGAAATCATTATTTTTATTTTCATAAAGATTAATGATAATACTTTATATTATTTTATTCATTTTCATTTGGTAACGATAAAGCTAAATAAAACACCATTTGTAATAATATCAACTTTATTTTATACTCGTAGGAATTATTATAATAGCCCTGACTGCTAGTGGCGGAACAGGCCAGCCTACGCACGGTAGGCTAGCCTACGTTTTTGGTCGCCTACGGATATCAGATAAAATCACGAAAATTAATTTTGGGTTTCATCTTATCTATAGGTCGCTTTATACTTGGAAATATACGGTAGTCACAATATATGTTCCAGGCGAAGAGACAAATTGAAAGTAGAACTGTTCATCAGGACTGCGGCAAAATCATGATCTCTTCTACGATCAGTAAAGGTTACTACCTTGGATTTTGTAAATATTGAGCATTAAAAAACAGTTCCGTCCTATTGGGCTATGCAAGGTCAAAGGGTACATATGATATGAGGATCTGGGCGTCTATATTTTTGTTGGGTGCACCCATAACTATGTTATCGTTTGCATATATATTTGCTCATATTATTAGGAAGACCGATAATTTATATTAAAAGAAAAAAGATAGGAGCATTAGATGACGCGAACATGGTGTTCGCATGCGTTTCAGAGGCTTGGCCATTACGAACGTACTCCATTGACTTACCCGATAGAAGTGACTTGATAAACGAGAAGACACTCCCATAAAAATTATAACTGGAGAGTTTGTGAAAGAACTCACTATGCTATGCGTTGTCAAAAACAATTGATATTTATATATATATATATATATATATATATATATATATATATATATATATATATATATATATATGGCGGTCGCTCACGTCATATACGTTCATGTGTTTCTATGTATAGGATTTTGAATTTAATGAACTTTTAACACATTTTCATAACAAATTATTTTAACTAGTAAAAAAAATCTACATTTTCATATCGCATTATTTACACATGACTTAAGCATATAAAAGATAATTAGAAAAATATTAGATATCAAGTATGGTGTGCTTGTCCAGATAATTAGAAATCGCATTTGACGCAGAAATGATCATTTCATCAATGATGAAAAAGCAATGGCCCCGAATTTAATGAACTTTTAACACATTTTCATAACAAATCATTTTGAATTTAATGAACTTTTAACACATTTTCATAACAAATTATTTTGAATTTAATGAACTTTTAATATATTTTCATAACAAATTATTTTAGCTTTTAAGAAAAATCTACATTTTCATATCGCATTATTTACACATGTTTTAAACATATAAAAAATAATTAGAAAATATCATTAGATATCAATTATGGTGTGCGTTTCCAGATAATTAGAAACCGCATTTGACGCAGAAATGATCATTTCATTAATGATGAAAAAGCAATGGTCCCGAATTACGTTCCATTCTGCAGAAAAAAAGATATGTTTAAAGGGGTTTCTTACACTTTTTTTCATATGATACCGCGTTGGAATTGTCTTTCAGTGTTTGTGTGTGCTTTAAATATTTCCAGACAGGAACTGGAGACTGTCATCTCGAAAATCCAACTGGCGAGTTGGAGGCTAATTATCACTGACAAAAGGGAGACTATGTCTATCTGACTGAAAGAGAATGACGAAATCCTCACAGACAGAGACAAAAATACATCAACAGCTGACTCCACTCATTTGGCTAGCGAATTTGTCGTAGTCTTACACGTTATATCCGCAAGACTGACATTTCTGGGTATGACTATAAACTACATCCGCCTCCAGGGTAAGACGATAAACTACGTCCAACAGCAAGGCCACTGATCAGGAGGCTTTGAAAAGCGTGGAACCAACTCTTTGTTGCTGGTGTTTCCAGGTCCACCCTGACCCAGGGAGGTAGCACCAATTAGGGTCCCAGCTATGGGCAAATAGTTATTACCAGAAGTAAATTTTTGAAGAAAAAAAACTAGTACCAGCAATACGTTTTTGAAAAAAAATATTATCAGCAATAATTTTTTTAAATATTACCAGCTATATATTTTTGAGGAAAAAAATATTACCAGAAATACATTTTTTTAAATATTACCAGCTATATATTTTTGAGGAAAAAAATATTACCAGAAATATACTTTTGACAAACAAAAATATTACCAGGATACCATTGTACGAATATGCGAGCAACGACAAAGTTTTTCGAGAAAATGGTAACAAAATGAAACTTATACTTATCACCAGGAAAAGGCAGCTGAAACTTCTAGATCACCTAATGAGGCAAGAAGGCTTGGAAAATCTGATACTCACAGGACGGAGTGAATGCAAGAGAGACAGAGAAAAGTAGTGAGTTTAATTAAGTGGATGAGGGAACATGGATTAAGAGAAATTACAAAAAGACAAAATTTAATAACAGTTGTAAAAGGCAGAAAATTTTGGAGAGCCATGATCGCCGATGTCTTGAGAGTACACGCCACATAAAGAAATCGAATCAATGGCAAGTTTAGATTTCTGTTTCCATTCTTTTTTTTAATTACAGGGTTTATCAAAAGCCATAGAATAGAAATGGAAGGGAACTCAAATAAAAGAAAACCCAGTTTGAAATGATTCCGTGCCAATAATGTATATGTAAAATGTATTCCATCCACAATAACAGAACGACCAGAAATTCAAATATCTAAGGAGAAATTAACTATTATATTTTTAAGAAGTAATTGTTGAATGTCTTAATCAAATCTAAATGCTCACCCGGTAGGGATCGAACTCGCTTCTTGCTTGAAGAGACTTCTACATATACAGCGATCAGGTTTGCTTTGTATCCGAATTCGCAACATGTCAGAGGATTTTTTTTTCCTCACGGTTGTTTACTAAATTTACTCATGCACAAAAAGATAATTGGTTAGAACGTCGTAAAATTCTATTTCTGTATACTTTCGAATTGGAGTGATTCGCCAGTCTTCTAAACATTTTCTCTCTTTTTCCGAAATTTTTTTGTTATAAAATTCACTGATTGACGAAAAACATAATGTAAAACTAGGAATGATCATCTTGAGAAAGAAAATTTGATACTAATGAGGAAGTGAAAGAGTGAAGATAGAAGGCAAGTGTGACAGAAGTAAACGACACATAAGCTATAAGAAGACCAAATAATTGTAGAAATATATGATCGCCTACGTCCTCAAAGGACACGGTACGGAGAAGAAAAAAAAACAATTATAATTAGCTATCAATGGTAAGGATGGAAATGTAGTGATAAGATATAGATGCGATAAACAAGAAGAAGGAGGAGGGGGAGAGGAAGGAGGAGAAGAAAAAGATGACGAGGAGACGTACAAGAAGAAGACAAGGAGAAGAAGATGAAGAAGAAGAAGACTAGGAGAGGTAGAAGAAGAAGAAGAAGAAGAAGACTAGGAGAGGTGGAAGGAGAAGAAGACGAGCAGAGGTGGAAGAAAAAGAAGAAGAAGACGAGGAGAAGTAGAAGATGAAGAAGAAAGAGGAGGAGGGGGAGAGGAAGGAGAAGAAGAAGAAGATGACGAGGAGACGTACAAGAAGAAGACGAGGAGAGGTAGAAGAAGAAGAAGAAGAAGAAGGAGAGAAGAAGAAGAAGAAGAAGAAGAAGACTAGGAGAGGTGGAAGAAGAAGAAGACGAGAAGAGGTGGAAGAAGAAGAAGAAGAAGAAGAAGAAGAAGAAGAAGTAGAAGAAGAAGAAGAAGGAGGAGGAGGGGAGGAAGGAAGAAGAAGAAGAAGAAAGGAAGAAGACGTACAAGAAGAAGACGAGGAGAGGTAGAAGAAGAAGAAGAAGACTAGGAGAGGTAGAAGAAGAAGAAGAAGAAGACAACAACGAGAAGAGGTAGACGGAGTAGAAGAAGCGGAGAGGTATACGAAGAAGAAGAAAAAGGAGAAGACGAGGAGAGGTAGAAGAAGAAAGAGTCATAACTGATTATCGATAAAAAGGATGGAGAATTATTAATACATAATTAATGCAAAGAAGAAGAAGAAGAAGAGTAATAAAAGAAGGAAAAAGAATTATAACTAGATATCCATAGTAAAGATGGAGAAATAATAAGGCAGGAAGAGGAAGAGGACAAATAATAAGGCAGGAAGGGGAAGAGGAAGAGGAGAAATAGAAGAAAAAATCATAATTATCGACAGTAAGGATGAAGAATTATTAATAAAGCATTGACAAGAAGAAGAAAAAATACAAAGACCAGGAGATGAAGAGAGATAAAACAGGTAGCACTTAAAAACTGAAAGTGCTACTGTTGCGGATGGAACTTTGTGTCATATAAAGAAACAAAGTCAAAAACAAAGTCAACAATAAATCTGGTGCACTATTTCTTCATCGAATCCCAAAATAGTTGTAATAGGTAGAGATCATATCCTGTTTGTTTTGTCAATTTAAGGGTTTTTTTGTTAATTTTTAATTAAGTGGAAACAAAAAAATGGCATGCTTCACTTGCCCTGGGTCATTGTTTATGCTGATTTTTTAAGCATATCTTAGAAGTTGCTCAAGGACGAATTATGGATCAGCCAATATTCTCTTCTAACTGAAATAGCGAGGCAAGCTTACTAAACATTACACCAGGTTGAAGAGTCCAGGTCATAAGTTACGATGCACCATGTGAGGAAATAAAACAACAGAAGGTCAGAAGGATTCATTTTAATAATAATAATAATAATAATAATACAAGGCTAATCACCCTAACATCATGATTAGAAAGCGCAAATACAAAATGTGCCTCCTTATTAACATGGAATTTCCTGCAGACTGCAATGTGTTTTGAAGATCTTCAAATCTATCAAAACACAAGAACCTTGAAATCAAAAATATGGCACATGAGAAAATAAATAATTCCAGCTGTAGTGGGAGCCCACGGATTGATTGGAAAAGATTCCAATAGATTCGTAGAAGTCATTCCTGGTAGCCCATGCCTTAAAGAAATAGAAGAAACAGTTCTCACGAGTACATACCACGCCTTAAGAAGGGTTTATCTCTGTAAAATATGTGTGACTTTTTTCTTCAAAATTACTCTTTGGAAAATGCCATGATGCCATTTCTGTCCTTAGGTCTCTTAGGACCCGTAAAGATATGAGTACACACCAAAAATCAAAGGAAATAATAATAATAATAATAATAATAATAAAATGAAGCTTCTCACTTGCTACTACAGGCATCATCCCAAAGCTGATGTTGATCCTCTCTATGTGTCCAGATCCGAAGAAGGCAGAGGATTAGTTCAACTAGAACTGTCCTACAAAACTACAACAACTGGCCTTCAAAGATACCTGGAAACCACGGAAGACTGGATGATGATATGTGTCAAATAACATGGAAGTAGTAAGCACTTTTATTCTGTAATAAAAGAAGCAAACAAGTTCGAAATGGGGTTTCAAATGGATGCAGAAATACAAGTAAAGCACAATACACCGATTGAAGCTGCAAAATACATAAAATTGATAGCAAAAATAAATGCAACCGACCAGATACAGAAACAATGACAAGATAAACCGCTTCATAGCCAACACTCTGCCCGTAGCAAAAAGCTGATGTAGAGAAAACCCGTACCCATCGGTGGCTATGTAGTGCAGGGTTAAAAGCTGAAACTGAAGGTTTTATCAGTGCTTGTTAACTAGAAATTATCAAGCACACAAACTAAAATATAGTGTTATCCCAAAATGCAGTGTCTGTGATAATTACCCAGAAACAATTGATCATCTTGTATCAGGTTGCACGGTATTGGCACCCACAGAATATAAAACCCAGTATGACAGAGTTGGCCAATATCTGCACTGGAAAATCTGTAACTTCTATGGGAAGGAAACTGAAAGAAATTGGTATGAACACCACAGAGACTCGGTTACCGAGAAAGGACCTGTTACAATTTTATGGGACTACACAATACACACTGTCAGAACAATCAAAGCTAACTGCTCAGTTATTGTTATTAGAGACTGCAAACAAAAAAAAGTGTCTCCTTATTGATATGACAGTCCCTGCAGAAGATCTTCAAAAAGCTATTAAAATAAAAGGACCTTGAAATCGAAATCTCAAAAATGTGACAAATGGGAACCTCAACAATGCCTCTTGTAGTTGTAGCCCTCGGATTGGTTGGAAAAGATTCCAGTAGACTAATTGAAGGGATTCCTGGAATCCCATGCCTTAAAGAAATACAAAAAATTGTTCTCACAAGTACGAAGGGCTTTGTTTATGCAAAACATTTTTTTTTTGTTTTTTGGGTTTTTTTTTCCAGTGGAAAATGTCATGATGCCATTTCCAACCTTAGGTCACTGGGCGGGACCCGGAAAAAATAAGTTAACATCAGAAATCAAAGGAAATATAATAATAATAATAATAATAATAATAATAATAATAATAATGTCCACTAGTTGTTGCGGAGATCTGATAAAAATCCAGAAAGAAAGCATTAATATCGAAACCAGGCAATATGATTTTGCAGCCACTTATTTTACTGAATAGAAGCTAAAACGTTGCTTTTGTAAAAACGTAGAGAAAAATATTCTTTCAGAATAAATTAACAGGCATGAATATATATATATATATATATATATATATATAATATATATATATATTTGGAAGGAATTACCAGCATTGGACAATAGCCCAACGTTATAAAGTTCCCTCTGCAGAAAAATGCTATGAACAAAAAACATCACAATTATTTCAAGGAGAATATGTTACACACCACGAACACGTTGTATTACACACCGACCGCAATATACAAGGCAATACACAAAATGTCAGAGTAATTCAAAAATTATCAGCACTTTCATCATAACATATCTTTAGCTGTTTCATTCTGGTGTTTGGAAAGAAAACCGTGCAAATGACTATAATAATAATAATAATAACTTAATGGGACCAATAAAATGAAGGCTATCAACACATTAACTATACCCGTCGTAACATACAGCTTCAACATTATTAAATAGAAGATGAATCACATTAAAAATGGACACCAAAACCATCAAAATGTTTACACAAATGACGATGCACTACCTGAAATGATTTTGCAGGCACCTTAATAGGCTGTACGTACCAAAACTTTTAGGAGGACGGGGTCTAATCCAGCTTGAACTAACTCTAAAAATTACAACAATCGGATTGGAAGCATAACTCACGAAATCCAGTGAACCTCTCCTACAAATAGTAAAACACCAAATCCACTCCATCAACAAAGAAGCTGCTCTCCTCAAGAAACAGTTTAATATAACTGAAATCCTTTCAAAAAAAAAAAAAAAAACGAAGCGAATACCATCTACGCCAAACGAATAAAACATAAATCAAAACAACTTGGCCTTACAAAAAAATAAAGAAAAAAGAAAACTGGTAGAACCAGGCGTTACATGGCAAATACCTAAGAAAAACAAAAGAAGCAGATATGGACCTACAGAAAACACATCAGTGGCTGAAAAGCACCGGGTTGAAAACTGAAACAGAAAGTCTAATTACTGCAGCTCAGGAACAAAGCCTCGCGTTCAGATCCTATCATTGTCACATAATCAAGTATGGAACTAAGCCCAAATGCAAGATCAGCGGAAAATATGATGAAACAGCCAACAATATTATCTCTGGAACTAGCAAAAAATTAATATACCCAGAGACATAACAATTTAGCGACATATGTGCACTAGAAGATATGCAAGAAGCACACAATCGAATCCGCTGAGAGATGGTATGAGCAACAACCAGACACAGTTACCCAAAATAACGATGGAAATATCCTCCTCAACATCCCACTTCAAACTGAAAAGAAGATAAAAGCAAACAAGACAAGAAATTCAGGAAGTGTATGCTTATTGACATAGCAGTAGTATCTGAGAGAAACACCTCCATGAAAATTATCGAAAAATTGTCCAAACACAAGGACATGGAGATCGAGATTATCAGGATGTGGGAAATGAAGACTTATACTGTATCAACAGTAATCATGAGAAAAGGAATGGACAATTTTACTAACAGTGTCCCAGGTAACACTGCATATCAACATAAAGGTTAGACAGAAGATATCCCTACTAGGAACATTCCATTGTGCTATCAGTTAAATAACATTTCTCCTATGGTTTGGACCCGGCTATTAAGAATACAAAGCAGGTAACATAACATGCACAAATAATAATAATATTAATAATAATAATAATAATAATAATACACAATGGATGCATGAAATAATAATAATACAATATATTTTAAAAATAAATGTATAGTGGTTTCATAAAGAGGAGTGTTTCTTTTTTACGCTAAGATTCACCCCGTACAAAGCCGGGCGGCCACTCAAGCTAGAGGGTCCGTTAAGGAGTAGTTAATAAGGATAGGAGGGGAACATAATGGTTAACTCTAGAATTGAACAGGTTGATAATGTAGTGATCGTTGAAGCATCCTCTTGGGAGTCTGTTCCACAGAGCAGTGATCGCGAAGCTGAAAGGAATTTACCGTTCGAATATGCAGGAAATGTGAGTAGTTTGCTGTTATGCAAGTGGCATGGCGGGTTTTAGCAGTGAAAGTTAGACTTGGCGGAACCAAAGAATGTAGTTCTCTAGAGCACTTTCCATGGAAGTAGCAATAGAATCGCCAGACTCCGCCTGAGGGAGAGGTTGATGTGTGGAAAATAATTCTTCACCCACAAGCACACTGAGACGCTTAGGAACTCAATCAAAACTGAAAAGTTACGACCGGTCAGGTCCCACCATAACCTGACGACAATACTCCATTTTTGATCTGATCTGGCTCTTGTAAAGGTAGAATGCTGTATTCAAGTATTGCAGAGTAAATGCACAAGCCGTCTCAGTATTCAAAAACTGAGACAATGTATTTTTTTTATTCGGTTCGCTAATTATTCACTTCTGAAAAATGTTTGTAAAAATCTATACCAAAATATTAGTGAGTATTTATTGTATATTATATTGGAATAATTCTGTTGAAGAATTTTATTCAAAAGTCTAAACGCGAGTGCTGATAGGGACAGCCTTCTGCTCTGTGCGAGATGGACAGAGGCTGGCAGTCAAGATAGAAGGAAGCGATTACACAGTCAGCCTTATCGCTATCCTGAGCAAGCGCGCTTTTACTTTAATGTCGACTTGTCAGGTTATCTTTTCTGCAGGAGAGAGAAACTGATGTGTCTTATCTCGGGAAGGGAAAAAGGTTTACTGGCAATATGACTGCTTTCATTACAGACAAAGTTTTTCTACTATCCTTCAGCATTGGTATAATCTCATCATCTATAAACTCCAAATTCTCCCCGTTCATCTCAGTAAAAGTATATCGGGGAAAATATCTGTATGTGTGATTGTGCGAGCGTCTGCGTGCTTATGTGTGTCATAACCAAAGCAAATCAGGAGGACAGCTGAATGGTTTTTACTTACAGTAATATTAACTCTATCCAAGGCCCAAGAGACACTCGAGATAGAGTGTTACCGAGTAAGAAATAAAAAGCACAGTTCATTTGTTTGTTTGCTTGTATTACGGCTTATTAAACTTATTTAAATCGAAAAAGCATTTTTATTTTAATCATTATTTGAGATAACAATGATCTCCCATAGAAGTCCTACTGCTTAACCCGTAGTTGAAGGGAGAAGCGGTAGATTCATAGCTTTTCCGAGTGAATTTGCGCGTGAGTGAATATAACGAAACGGGACAGAGTTGTATGTTTCGAGATTCAGGCAGATATGTGTTCAAAACGACTACTCCATACGTGTTTGAGAAGGAAGTCACATCAGATCTAAAACCGGTTTTACTGACTAGTGAACACTGATCCAGGTAGTCTAAATCAAATCAGATCTAATAACGGTTTTACTGACTAGCGAGCACTGATCCGCGCGGTCTAAGTCACGTCAAATCTAATAACGGTTTTAATGACTAGCGAGCACTGATCCGAGCGGTCTAAATCAAGCCAGGTCTAATGACGGTTTTCCTGATTAGCAGCACTGATCCAAGCAGTCTAAATCACTTCAGATCTAATAACGGTTTTACTGACTAGCCAAAACTGATCTGAGCGGTCTAAGTCACTTCAGATCTAATAACGGTTTTACTTAGCGAGTACTGATCCAAGCGCTGTAAGACACGTCAGATCTAATAACGGTTTTAATGATTAGCGAGCACTGATTCGGGCGGGCTAAATCACGTCAGGTCTAATAACAGTTTTCCTGATTAGCGACTACTGATCCGAGTGGTCTAAATCGCGTCAGATCTAATAACGGCTTTACTGACGAGCGAGAATTGATCCGAGCGGTCTAAGTCACGTCAGATCTAGTAACGTTTTACTAACTAGTGAGAACTGATTCGAGCGGTCTAATTCACGTCAGATCTAATAACGTTTTACTAACTAGTGAGAACTGATTCGAGCGGTCTAAGTCACGTCAGATCTAATAACGTTTTACTAACTAGTGAGAACTGATTCGAGCGGTCTAATTCACGTCAGATCTAATAACGGTTTTACTGACTAGCAAACACTGATCCGAGGTTTCCTAAGTCACGTCAAATCTAATAACGATTTCAATGACTGGCGAGCACTGTTCAGGAAAAAAAAACTATCAATTTTACATATTTTTTAACTTCTTGCGCTAAAGCAGATTCGGTATCAGAGATTTCGTACAAATGCAAAATGTACAACACGAACATTTATTTTTTTAATATACATTTTCTGGTCAAGAATAAAAAGATACCATTTCCTTCACTGTAATGTTAGAATTGAGATATAGGGGAATCATCATATTAATCCAAGACTAATTCTTCCTTCATTCAACAACAGGGATTCTGAACAGGAGGTTTTGATGAGCGTGGAACCACTTCTTAATTGCTGTTGTTCTTAGTCTAACCGGACCCCTGATGGTAGCATCTGTTAGGGACGCAGCTATGGGCAAATATTGAACCCGCAAACTTTGAACAAAACGTAAATGTATATAAATATATAAGAATTACCAGCAATACATTTTCATGTAAATTGAAAAATTACAAGTAATACATTATTGGAATAAAAATATTTTCAGCAATATATTACTGGAATAATAAAAGTATTAGCTGCTATACTTTATTGGATTAAAAAATATTAGCTAAAATAGTTTATTGGAATAAAAAATTTAGTAATAATACATTATTACAATAAAAAAATATTAGCTGAAATATATTATTGAAATAAAATTCATTAACAGTAATACATTATTGGAATAAATATTATTGGCTGCAATACAATTTTTAGAATAAAAATATTAGCAGCAATAGTTTGATGGAATAAAAACTTTACATTAATACAATAAAAAAGTATTAGCTGCAATACATTTTTGGAATAAAATTTCTTAGTAGGAATATATTATTGAAATAAAAATATCGCTGGATCTTCTTATCTACCTCTAAGCTACCTGCTGTATACAAATGCTTCCTCAGATCAACAGTTAAAAATCGAATAAAAACAGTAGTGCTTAACAAGCATCGTATTTTTTCGATCCTCGTAGAACCGCGCTTGAGAAACACTAACAAAGGACTGTACCAAATAGAAGAAACCATATCACGTGAGGACTACTAACAACAGCAACGACTAAAACGCATAGACCATGAAACTCAAAGAGTAAATAATGATATAATCAGGATGCTGACATTACTTCTAACCAAAGTTTAGGAAGCAAGACTCTAAAGACTAATTATAGTTACTGGACTTGGGAAACCTATTTTCTTGAAAATTGTTTTAAGACACAGATTATAGAATATAAATTTCAACCGAATGTAGAACTGGCTGATCGGTCAATAAATGCCTAATATAAGTAAAAGACTAATATTACTATTATCATTAGAAGTTACGATAACAGATACTACACTTTGATCCCAGTTCGATGACCAGGTAGTGAATGAAAAATTAGCTCGAGTAATACTGGCTAATCGGTCAGTGAATGCCGAATCCTTCCTAAGAAGGATACGGCTAATATTACCATTGCCATTGGAAGATTGAGTTAGATTCATTTACACTTGAATCTATAGTTTCATACTAGCCGGGCTTATAATTATCTCTGCATGGCTTCAGTAGGAAGCTGGCCGTTTTTTGGGTATCCAACCCTATGTATAGAATGCTGTGAGCATATTCTCAGCTCCACCGACAGGTCAGTGAATGGTACATCAGTTTGAATAATCACTTATTAGAGCCATTGTCGAAAAAGGACCTTGTCAGTGTGAGGGATATTTAGCTAAGGTGCACAATGTATCACATTAAAATATACACGAATATGCCATACGAATTATGAAGACATGTATGAAGTGAATTTACATTTTCCTTAAACCGTGTTCAGAGAAGGCAGTTTCCAAATCTGACCTTTTGAAACATTGAGTGCTCCAGCAATAAAACCTTTTTGTTTCACTGGATCGTACAAGAGATGTGACGTAGCTATTATATATTAACGACAAATACGATAGCATTAGTCGTCACCTTATGTCCAAGCTATACGAACACCGAATGTTGGCGTTTATCGTTGCGTGGTTTTGATTTAAATTCTGGAGAACATGACAGGTAACGACCATTATGAGTTACTAGGCACCGGACAAACCATCACTGAATACAAGAAATTTATTGCCAATAACTCGAGCGTGTCAGTTATGTATGACATTATAAACGAATATGAAGAGAAATGGTGCCACCTTCTCTGAATAAGAAATACCTCAGTGAGCAGAACAAATCCAGTATGAGATGGGAATGTGGCCTTCACCAAATTTTCGGATAATCGTTTCTTTCGATTGCTTGGACATTTCATTCGTAGCAGAATACGGAGATATAAAAAAAAATGGCGTCACTTCCGGATTCCTTTACATCCAAAACTTCAGAATTTATTAGTGGCGAGGAAGTACAACATAACTTTATATGCTACTTGTTAAAATTACCAATGGTGTTGCTGATTAAAAAACTTAATATATATCTATGTACAACTTAACATATACAGTGGTGACTTTCAATGACTGGTTGATTAGTAATGGTCGAATTATTCTTCCATAAAATTGAAATGTTAAACATTTATTCTCATCACTCTGATACAGCAATAACTATTAATGTTTGTTCGATTCTCTTTAATGAACACAGAAGGGCGTGTTCTTGTAAATATCTGGCTTCGTAATTTCGCAATGATAATTAACCTCAGCCTTTATCTTTCTCCTTTGTTCACTGCTTCAAATATACACACGCGCTTCGCTTTATGGCTCGTTATACTAAGCGAATACGATATTTCCGGCCCGAATAAGAAGACCTTAAAAATGATATATATTGACACACAAGTAGATCACACATTGAAGATTTGAAAGCTAACCCTAGGGTTGAACGGGAAGATAATTTAGCTATGAAGAAATAAGGAAATTTAATTAAACTTAAAGTTACAAAGCAAAAGTATCAAATCACGAATACATTTGGTGGGGTCGTTTTTTCGATTTTTTAAGACTTAGCATACCAAGTGGCTTAAGGGTTCTCGGAGGACCCCAGAGTGACATTTTTAGTGATCCTACTGTAACTATAAGAACTAATCTTTTTTTAAAATTATTTCTGTATGTGTTTCGCATCAGTTTAAGGTAAAAAAAATCATTAGACTTGTAAAATCCTTTCAACAAGACGCAAAAATAACATATTTGGGATCCCTACGCTACAAATTTGGATTATCAATTCTTGTTTGTTTTTTTGTTGTTTTTTTTTTTTTGTTTTTTACAGGTTTTGAAGGTTGCAAAGTTTAAAAAAATGTCCCGCCAACAAATCTTCGATCATGACATTGTTCAGCTGCTAGATGAATGCAATGTAAGTAACCCGGATGATGTCTTGAGCGAATCTGCTGCAGAATTTATGACACAGGGAGATGAGACTGAAAAAGTCTTGAAGCCAATTCTGAAGAAAGTGACATTGCCAGCGAAAATTCTCATGGAGATTTTGATGAAGATGAATTCATTGCAAAATCAGGAAGAAAAATGCACTATTTTAGTGCTCCCCGCTGACTTGCCGTCGCCAATGTAACATTGTTAGAGGAACCCCCAGGCCACCGCCCATAATTTATGCCGGAACCAATATGTCCGAAGTTTCAAACATGTTCTTTGATGACCAAATTATAGATACTATATGCACCTTCACCAATGCTGAAGCGTCGCGCGTTGTTCAAGATTTCAATGCAAATGCCCCTCAGAACAGAATGAGTATTTGGATAGATGTAGATCCTGTGGAAATAAAAGCGTTTTAACAAATTAACAAAGCACGTGTTCAAACCATCTTTATAATTATGCAAATATTGCAATAAATAAAAAACGCGCCATTTAACTATCAAGTAATATAATTGGATAACAATTGAAATCCAATCAAATTTCAACCAATGAGCTATACTAAAGAGCACGATTGAGATTTTAATGTAATTCCAATTAAAAACAAAAAAGTAAGTCATATATGCTTGATAAAAAATCATATAAAAAAGGTCCTAAAAATATTAGCTGCTGTAAATAGGACACATGGCCCTGTGGATAAAAGAGGTGGTTGGATCCAGTGACTTGACCTAAAGAGTTTTGAATTCAATATCTGGCTACGGAAGTGGTGAGCAAAAACTTGGAGAGTAATTAAAAGAAGATAACTATGACATCCAGAAGAGGCATGGCCCGTGGAACTAGAACAATTCACCCCAGTGGACGAATCGCTTGAAGAAGGCCGAAAGCGTACAACGGCCGAAACGTTGTGAACATGACAGTAAAGATGAGGTAACAGAGCGAAAAATGTAAGTAATTACAATGCTTCATCTCAGAAATATAGACGGATATTGCTGTAGAAAGAGAAGGAGATTATTTGTTCGGGACGTGTTGAAAGGATCTCAAGAATAAAGGAATCTACAAGTGAATGATGTTCTAGAAATGACTGATAACGCGCAGAAGGGATCGAAATAGAGACATGAGGATCATGTGATTTACGCGATCAAATGTAATACATTGCAACGTTTTCCTCCGGTTTGATCTGGTTTTTCTACTAAAATGCAAGCGAACGCACGAGTTTGCTTTCTTCAAAGGTTTCTCCACATGAATCCTGATTTCAAAGATTTGTTTTCATTTTTAACGTTGTCAGCATTTATCTTTCATATTTACCCTGTCGGAAAACACATGCATATATAAATACATACATACATACATACATACACACACACACACACACATATATATATATATATATATATATATATATATATATATATATATATATATATATATATATGTATTTATATATGCATTTGTGTGTGTATATGATGGAAATTGGATAGGAGATTAAACTGTTCCAATTTCCGAATGTAGGAAGAGAAGCAATTCTTCTTGCGTTGGAGATCACCAGTGAAAATGGTCCTTTTTTCTTACTTTTCTTGGGTGACTGATTAATTGCGCCGCAGAAAAATAGGAATTTATGAAATGCGCTAAGCTGGCCAAAATGTTTACGTCATTATTCAAACTTATTCATACTTATATATATATATATATATATATATATATATATATATATATATATATATATATATATATATATATATAGGAAGCTATCCCTATTTTTTGCAAGTTTCGTTGAAAACGACTGACAAGATGTTGTGGTTGATTTTTTTATAAAATTTCTCATGTGTATGTATTTTTTTTTCCTTTTCTTTCAGGACATAAATTATACAAAAAAATGTCCGAAATTTTTCTAGGCATTTTCCACTATACTTTTAGCCATTATCAAGGGTGAATATCATTTTACTTTTAACTGAATATATGCATTCTTTTATGTATTTATCAAGAGTTATAAGAATCATTTATTTTCCAAATACATTCAGCACATTGTGGCCGTGTTCATTGTTGATATTACTGATGTAGAAGTCAAGTGACTTACCTACAAACATGGCTGCCTTCTTGTGTCCTCTTGAAAAGCAGGCCAGCTGATGTTACCACATTCTATAGGAGAGCGCCAAATACACCAGTTAGGTTGGTCGATTTTGCTAGAATGGACCTGCCCAATACATTTGCATGTGCTTCGTTACCCATATGTCTCTCCAGTAAATGACTCAAGTTTTATCTTCTGGCCACAGTTGCCTAATTGTGTGTCAGACCACTGGCAAGCTAACCAATATATCGCACACACACACACACACACACACACACACACACACACACACACACACACACACACACACACCATATTTTCATTCAAACATTATTGGAATAAAAAATATTAGCTGAAATAGTTTACTGAAATAAAACTTTAGTAATGATACATTATTACAATAAACAATATTAGCTGAAATATTTATTATTGAAATAAAATATATTAACAGCATTACATTATTGGAATAAAAATTATTAGCTGCAATACAATTTTTCCTTAACATAAAATTCTATATATACACCCATATATATCACACATATCCATCTACACACACGTATATCTATCTATCTATCTATCTATCTATCTATCTATCTATCTATCTATCTATCTATCTATCTATCTATCTATCTATCCGTTGCATGAGTGGTGCATATTCACCCATATATCTCTCCAGTAAATGACACAAGCCGTAGGTTCCTAAGGAAACTAAAAACACCCATAATCAAGACCCCCCATAACAAGTGCCTTCTCTGTGTCACCTGAGCCGACGATGACAGATATGTGTAGACCACATCAATCTGCCAAAGACTCAGGAAATGGTGGCACTACATTGCGAAATAACCTAGCGTCCCAAGGCCCTACTCAATCACAGCCATCAAGAACCAGGATTCCCAGGGCGCTACCCCGACTACTCCCGTACAATCTGCCAGGCAATAGGGAACTGATTCCTCCCCAACGGCCAATATGCCTCCGTAATGGGGTGAGGAGGAAGATGTGGAAGTCAAATGACTTACCTACTAACATGGTTGCCTTCTTGTGTTCTCTTGAAAAGCAGACCAGCTAATTTTACCTCATTTTATAGGAGAGTGCTCAATACACCAGTTAGGTTGGTCCATTTTGCTAAAATGGACCTGTCCAAAACATTTGCATGAGTGGTCTCTATTCACCCATACACCTCTCCAGTAAATGACTCAAGTCAGTTTTAGATCCTGGCCACACTTGTCTACTTGTGTGCCACACCACAGGCAAGCTAATCAATATAACACACACACACACACACACACACACACACACACACACACACACACAGCATATCTTCATTCAAACATTATTGGAATAAAAAATATAGGCTGAAATAGTTTACTGAAATAAAAAAATTAGTAATAATACATTATTACAATAAAGAATATTAGCTGAAATACATTATTGAAATAAAATATATTAACAACATTACATTATTGGAATAAAAATTATAAGCTGCAGTACAATTTTTCCTTAACATAAATATCTATATATACACCCATATATATCACACATATCCATCTACACACACGTATATCTATCAATCTATCTCTATCCGTTGCATGAGTGGTCCCTATTCACCCACATATCTCTCCAGTAAATGACTTTAGTCAGTTTTAGCTTCTGGCCACAGTTGCCTATTTGTGTGTCAGACCACTGGCCAGCTAACCAATATTCTACAACTGAGTGTTGGCTTTTACTTTATTATTAATAATGTTTCCATTGTTTCTAGCATTTTTTTTTTATGTGGGTGAAGCTATTATATTTGTATATTCAACGAGCATGTTACGGATACTATACCATGTTTAGCAAGAAAACTCACGTTACATCTCTCAGACCATAGCCCAATAAGGTCTCATTTAAATACACATGGAGAACTACCAAACACTACTTGGGTTAGTAAAGACTACTGCACCTTCCTTGGTGAATTTAATCTTAACATCGAGTATCCGATTAGAGAAATGAAAAGGATCAGTATAAAAATATACACAATACGTATATATTATTCAAGGAAACATGTTTTAATGAACATATGCTACATATATATACGTGTGTGTGTATCTGTGTTTGTTTTTTGAGCAACTGGGTGACAACTTTGGAAAGATTCTGTGTAAAGCGTTTCGTCATCGATAATCTCAGCACCGGATTAAAGTCATCCATTTGTTGATGAAATGATATATGTGTAGAAGGTGAAAGAAAAGATATAAAAACGAAAGCGTTAGTTACAATTTTGCATTGACAGGAAAATTTTAGCCTTCCAAAATATTTAGCGTTTCCTGTCAGTCCATAATTATATCCGATGCTTGCACTCGCTGATATAACTACCCCGCCCATCGTACACACATGAAATTCCATCCACAAGAACAGTACTCTTGACTGATGAAGACTTTCTAGAGAGTGAAGTGGGTGCCACAGACTTTTAACAATTTGTTATTCATTTGCTAAACATTGCCCTGATATATATAGAAATGTATATCTAATATTCTCCAAATATATATATATATATATATATATATATATATATATATATATATAGAGATAGAGAGAGAGAGAGAGAGAGAAAGATAGATAGATAGTTAGATAGATAGATAGATAGATAGATAGATAGATAGATAGATAGATAGAGATACGTGTGTGTAGATGGATATGTGTGATATATATGGGTATATATATATATATAGATATTTATGTGTAGGTGTATAAATATTTATGTGCACACCCTCACAAATATGTGCACATACAAGTTTATACACTAATCATAATTATGTATATATAAACACATACATATACATGCATATCCATATATATATACACATACATACAAACCCATACCCATATATACAAATATAGATATATACACATATCCATTTAATCATACATACATATGAATACACGCCTATCCATATATACACACAAACATTTATATATATATATATATATATATATATATATATATATATATATTTGTGTGTGTGTGTATATACATATCTATATATATATATATATATATATTTTTATATATATATATATATATATATATATATATATATATATATATATATATATATATGTACATAAAATATTATTGATACCCCCCAAAGTATGGACGGATACGCCTGCTTACGAAACTCTGGAGTCAGGATGCTGAAGATCACATCAATCAGCCAAGTATCAAATTTTTACATATATTTTATATATATATATATATATATATATATATATATATATATATATATATATATGTGTGTGTGTGACACGCGTTGGTATCAAATATACATATAATATGGATTGGAATCTGAAAGAATGATAAGATACAGGCCAGATAGGAATCATTTATCAATTTAATTAATTTCTATTAATTAATTAAGAAATTAATTAAATTCATATATGTTTTCTATTTGTTCTTTTCATATATATATATATATATATATATATATATATATATATATATATATATATATATATATTATATAATATTAATATTCAAAAAGTTTCGGTTTTACTGCTGGAACTCCGGGCAACGCTTTCCTGGCTAAATCCTACAATCTCTACTTAAAAATTTATGTTGACGATTATTTATTTTTTAAAATTCACTGATAAATAATTTTCTTCATTTCCTCCAATCTTTTTATATCACCTTCAAAAGAAGGGATTTATGTTCTCTCTGTTGACACATTTTAAATTCGCAATTCATCCGAAAAAGATAAGAGTATTTTTTTTCAATGTAAATTCCTTCGATATCCATAAAAAATACTTATATATTTTGAATTTGTGTACAATTAATCGGAATCATCTTTTACAATAATGTTCACCCTGTAAAAGTCCAAATATCAGTTCCTGGTAGAATGTTACAGAGTAAGAGGCACCGCTTATGCCGATATGTCGGAATGATAACGGATAACTATAGACTTGATCAGGTTACGATTGTATTGACCGTAGAAACATCCTCTTGGCAGCCGTTTACACAAAGTAGTTGTTCGGGCCAAGTAGCTGCTCGAGTGGAACTTACATCTCATCAATGGAATACAATAGAATAGAAATGAATAATAGAATATCATAGAATAATATGTAATATAATAATAATAGAATATGCAATATAATAGAATAAATAAAATAAAATACAATACAACGGAATGCCAAGAGAATAAATGTAGTTTGGTGCAATGTGCGTGGTATGGTACGTCTTAGCCGTGAAGGTTAGAAATGGTGAAACTAAGGAGGGTAGTTGGTCTGAACACTTTTCATGGAAATAACGACAGATTGATGTTTGGATAATATTCTTATAAAAATTATTTAAGTATATTTTATAGAAAATATCCCGACAACTATAAAAGTCACGAATTATTATTATTATTATTATTATTATTATTATTATTATTTTCTTTGAATCTGGCGTTTACACATTTCTTTCCGGGTCCCGCTCAGGGACCTAAGGTTAGAAATGGCATCATGACACTTTCCACTGACAAAAAAAAAAAAATTACATAGATAAAGCCCTTCGTAAAGTGTGGGCTGTACTTGTGAGAACAATTTTTTGTATCTCTTTGAGGCATGGATTTCCAGGAATCCCTTCAATTAGTCTGCTGCAATCTCTTCCAAACAGTCCTAGGGCTCCAACTACAACAGGGATTGTTGATGTTCCCATATGCCACATTTTTGAGATTTCTATTTCAAGGTCCTTGTATTTTGACAACTTTTTGAATATCTTCAAAGATACATTGCAGTCAGCAGGGACTGCCATGTCAATAAGGTGGCACCGTTTTTGTTTGTGGTCTTTAATAACAATATCTGGGCGGTTGGTTTTGATTGTTCTGTCAGTGTGTATTTTGTAGTCCCATAGAATTGTAACAGGTCCTATCTCCGTATTATTATTATTATTATTATTATTATTATTATTATTATTATTATTATTATCTTCTGGTGGATACTCATTTCTTTCCGGGTTCCGACCAGAGACCTACGGTCATAAAAGGCACCATGACATTTATCACTGAGCAGTTTTTTAGAAAAAAATCACACATATTTTACGCAGATAAAGCCCTTCATGAGGTGTGGGTTGTACTGATGAGAGCAATTTTTTTTTGTCTTTCTTTAAGGCATGGATTTCCAGGAATCCTTTCAATGAATCTATTGGGATCTTTTCCGATCAGTCCGAGGACGCCAAGAACAATTTGAATTGTTGATGTTCTCACGTGCTACATTTTTTTTTTTAGATTTGGATTTCAAGGTCCTTGTATTTTGATAGATTTTTGAAGATCTTCAAAGTTACATTACAGTCTGCAGGGACTGCAGCCATGTCACTAAGAAAGCACCTTTGGTTCTACGATCTCTAATCATGATCTCTGGGCGATTAGCTCTGTGTGTATTTTAAAGCCCCATAAAATTGTTACAGATCCTATCTTCTTAACCGTGTCTGGGTAGTATTTATACCAATTTCATTCGGGGAAACTTGTAGATTTCCCAGTGCATGTATAGATCAACTTTTTCATACTGAATTTTAAATTTAGTGAGTACAGATACCGGGCAACCTGATACAAGAGTATTATTATTATTATTATTATTATTATTATTATTATTGTTGTTGCATCATTTTGGCAGAGAGTAATTTTAAGTGTAAAAAGGGCACTGTAGAAGAGGTATATATGTACATTTAGAACGTGTCGTTTAGAGAGGAATTTTCGGATATATGCAGTCCCATGCAAAGCATTCTTTTGTAAATCTGACATGCTGATGAGTCCAGCAATTTTGCTCACATGATTTTCGGTAGCCTTCTTTGTCATACCCAATGTTTCTATCACACAACTGATACTTGTAGCTTGTTTGTTTCCACTTTTTTCTTGTCATTATAATTTGACTCTTAATTGAATTTCTGTTTTAGAAAAAAAATTAAATCCTGGGCATAGGCCATACCAATTAATGGGCAGAGTCTTTTTATTTAATATTTTATGACTATGTCTGGTCTATTTGCATCAGTGACTGAACTGAGGCATTTCCGAATCCGCACAAAGATTGGGTTGATTCAGAAATTCCAAAGTCCAGTCACTATTAATATTAATATTATTAATTAATTTGCATTTATTTCTGAAGATTGAGAAATTCACATTATAATCACACCATCACAATATTTGGCATCACCCAGGTGATGTTTGTACAGTGTAAAAGGGACATCTATATTATATTTCGAAAAGACATGCCAAGGATTATATCATCACCATCATCATCATCATTATTATTATTATTAGTAGTAGTAGTAGTAGTAGCACATTCCTTTACTGAGTTTTACTTGACATCACGCGTAAGATAAAGCAGTCTGTTTGCAAAAATTCTGACGTTAAGTGATATTTAATGTGTACAATTGTTTTTATATATTCTTCACATTGTGATTACTCTTTTGAATGAAGGAGGATTTTCAAACAGTGAATGTTTTAAATCTCTTTTAAACAAGATCTAAAATAGATATGACAGTCGCTCTCTCACAGACGCGCCGTCGCCTCTCTCTGTCTTTTCTACAAATACTGTCATGGTAATTGCTCCGATGAGCTGTTTTCACTGGTTCCCAGACTCCACTACGAGGCTGGCATCCCGCTCTCACCCTTACACTGTAGAAACTTTTAAATGTAGCCGTCTCTTCTATTCCAATAGCTTCCTACCTCGCACCTCTCGCCAGTGGAACACCCTTCCCTATTACTGTTTCCCTGAGAGCTATAATCTCCAACTATTCAAATGTAATGTCAATCGACATCTCCACTATCCTCCTCCTCATCCTTTCTTCTATCACTCCTATCTGCTCTCGCTCCAAATCTTCTGCAACCCCACTGCATCTTAGTGGCTTCACGCCTTGCTCAGGGCGTAATGCTTAAAAAAACCAAAAAAAAACAAAAGTGATCAACAAATTCAACATTTTTTTTTTCTCATGATTTATAATTTTCATTTTGGGCTTAGGAAATTCTTTATTATGTTTTTTGGGTAATTTCTCATAAATAGGCTTTGGACATGCACAAGCATTATTAAGGTATTTGTCTTATCATTTAACTTTGCACTCTCCAACTCCTCATGTGTTTTGTGCTTATCTGTATCTGAATCGTTTCTTCTAAGTGCATATTTGACATGTACGTGTTTTTGTTCACAGTTTTTGTTTAATTGTTTAACTCTTATATTTTAGCATCCCTTTAAATATTATATCTGCATTCATAGTTGTGTATTTTTATCGATTTCCTTCACAGTGTTCTTCTTTCTAAGCGATAGAGCGAACGCCAACAAAGTGACGCCTGAGTACAAATATACCTAACCCAATATACCCGACATGACACCCAGATCGATAAAGATATACTAGGCATTTGCATCACTGCCATGTGTTTCGGATATAATGAGTAATTTTGATAAAAGTGGCATATGACCTGCAGATGACCCTTGTTAGAAATATCACCAGGTTGAGTAAAACAAAATTATTTAAGAAATATATTATTTTAATAATTATAAATTAGTGCTAGTAATAAATAGAATACTTAAGGACACATGGAACAGTGTATAAAGGCGTTGGTAGATCCAGTGACAGGACACAAAGAGTTTTGAGTTCAATATCTTGCTAAGGCAGTGAAGAACTTGGAGAGGTCAATTAACAAGAGATACTGATAACTGACATCCATTAGACATGGCACGTGGAACTAGAATAGTCTACCTAAGCGAGCAAAATAAAGGGTTCAGTTCGACATTCCAACCACCTGAAGAAGGCCGGGGCGTACAATGGTCGAAACGTTGTGATAAATATGGCAACAAACACGAGGACAATAGTCCGAGTAATGTATATAGTGTACATTATACCTCATCCTAGAACTATAGACACATAGTATACGTCATGTTGTGCTGTCATCAACTCGTCAGGGGTTTTGATTCTTAAACTTTATAATCAACTCCCACAAAGAGCGTATTCAATTCACGTAAAATAAAAATATAAGTAAACATTTAATTATATTTCTGTCTTCCTGGAATTTGTTCTTTTATTTTACTTTCTCCTCACTAAAGACTTTTTATGCTTTTTCACTCTTAGTAAAAACACACCCCACCCCTTAAACACCTTACATCTTAGTGGTATTATCACCTTGCTTGGGGTGAAATGATTGAAAATAAAATAAATACACGTATTGTGCCGGAAGAAAATTTCGTAAAGTTTTTAGAATTCCATTGACAATATTTAAATATTTTTACAGAGATTTATTCACTGACTTATACGTCCTCGGCATGACGATAAACTACATCAGGCAGGTTTTAAAGATCGCGGGATCGCCTCTGAGTTACTGTTATTCCTAAACTAGCGTCAAACTGATATGAAAGTATAAGAAATAGATTTTTAAGTAAAAATCCCAGCAATACATTTTTAGAAAAAAATATTACTAGCAATATATTTTGGGAAAAAATTACCAGCAATACATCTTTGAAAATACACCCACCCACATCCACACTCACAAAAACACACACACACACACACATATATATATATATATATATATCTGATGTACAAAACTGATTTGTTAGAAAGAAGCTGCTATGAAAGTTTTAAAAAAAATAGGTTTTTTTAAGTAAAAATTACACCCAGCAATAAATTATTGGAAAAAAATGTAACTATGAATATACTTTTGGGAAAAATTACCAGCAATAGATTTTTGAAGATACATACACACATGCACACACATATATATAAATATATATATATATATACCTTATCTACAAAACTGATTTCTTAGAAAGAATACATATTCATATTCTATTCATATGAAATTATCCTAAAAATATTTTCGTTGTGGTTGATATGACATAAAACAAAATAAAACAAATCAATTACTTGCAAATTATTTCCATTATATTTATATACTGAGCTAAGATCAATCATTGAGCAAATGATGCTTGTGCCTCTACGCAAGGGGCTTCCTTCTTTGAACATTGTGGACTGTCGATGCAGAATCACAGGCAGAAAAATTACCAGGTAACAGAAACAACTTCACTGGAGGGCTACCAACAATTAAAAGTGATAGCACATGTAACTGCAAAAGAGATTAATGGTTTATGAAAATTTTGTCATTCCACACTATTTGCAATCAAAGTTAGGAAGAAAACTCACACCAACAATAGAAACATCGATAACAGCAACTGAACTTGGAAAAACCTATTTTACTGGAAAAATTGTTTTAAGAGAAAGAATTTATAAATTTCCACAGGCGGAAGTACTAGCTACGCGCTCAATTAATGCCAAATATTTCTTTATAAAGAAACGCCTTATATTACCATCACCATTCTTGATTTCATTCTCTAGGATTTTTATTTCATTCTCTAGGATTTTTGTCTTTCTAGGTGATAGGCGCGTAATTGTTTTTATTGCCTTATAAAGAATTGGAATTCTTCTAATTAAAAACTTTTGTCAGTAACGAAAGAAATGAGTGCGGTGGTTGTAATAAATTATATCAATGTCTCTGCAAAAATACATGTCTACTAGATTGTTTCCATTTGAGGAAGTTAAGTACCGAGATTTTAGTCCCAGATACACTTATCTACTTCAGCCTTCAAACTGAAAATAACAGCCCTGTCGACACCTAGTCGTGGTATTTCTCCAGTGCCTTTCAGAAATGTGACTAATGTAGATGATTAGTATGCAAGAAAAAGGAACAATCTGATGATTTTGCTTGTTCTGCACACGTTAGAAAAAATATCGAAACATTTCAATACAGTTCGCGTCTTTAATTCGGCACACTTGGAATCAGGATGCTGTCGAACAACAGAAAAAAAAACGGAAGAGAGAAATCACCATTAAAAAAACTATATAAACATAGTCTTGCCAGCTCATTATACATACATACATACATGTCTTATCAAGTGATGACGTTGAATGTAGATTGTAGAATAAAGGTTTTAAAAGTTTCAAATTAATTAACCACCCCTCGTAGGTGGAAATCCTGCTACGTGAGCTGAAGTGACCAATCAAAATACAGGTATGTATACTTGTATTTTGATTGGTCCTTTCAGCTTCATGGCTATTTTTTAGTGATTTTGTAACATATTCATGTTATAATTTTTAAATAAATAATTATATAAGTTCTACTCTGCATTGAGCACTCTTTTAAGAATAGTAATTGTTGGTTATTGGAATTTATTCTGAATACAGCAAACATATACTTGTGTATATATATATATATATATATATATATATATATATATATATATATATATATATATATATATATATATATATATATATATATATATATATATATATATATATATATATATATATATATGTATGTATGTATATATATATATATATATATATATACTGGTGGAAACAGTTGGAAACAACATGCGCCGCTCAACGAATTAATGTCGAATGATTTTAAAAAGTACTGGAGCATGAGAATTGTTTGAACACTAAGTGTAATCAAAGATAGTACAAATAAAACTATTATTAATGGTTCTAAATAAAGTCTTTTGTTGTTTCATGCAGTACCCCACACACACACACACCTTTTCAAACATAGATAAAAATTTATGCTTACACTACTTACCACTGGCAGCATAACCTGAGGCCTGTGCTCTCTCGGATTAAAGAGGTCGGACTCTGAAAAATGTGGAATGATAAGTCTTATTTTGGTAAACTCCAAACCATTTTCGATCCTAACTCGAATAGAACTTTATCGAATATGATGTGCCATAAACAGAAATATTTATATTATTCTGAACTAGCTTAAAATCCACACTCCGTGCAGACCTTTAAACTAACACCTGCAAAGAGCTAATTGTGTTTCCGTTCGAAAACTAAACAGACCTATTGTCCAGTTGGGAAAATAGTAATGATAATTTTGAAGAAATAACTTTGAAATCCTCAATTCACTCTATGAAACTTCAAAATCTCATTTTAAATCTGATTTGGGCTATAAGTCCAATTCTGGCCAAAAGACCGATTTGAACCGAACTTCCCTTTGGGGCCGAAAACTGAGTTCTTCGAATCACAAAATCTGAGAAACTTCAATTGTGTTGACTTCTTCAAATCACAAACACTGCACAACTTAAAAAACTTACTTCACGAAACTTCTCACTTTAGTTCTGATTCCTTGGAATTTTGAAGAAATAAATTAATTTCCTCACTTCACAAAGTTTGGGAGATATTTTAAAATGAATTTAAAACAGTTTTCTTTTTTTTTAATTCACAAACTTTTGTTTTACTTTAAATTAATAATAATAATAAATGAAACGCTTTTAAAATCACAAGGTTATTTTAAAATTTGAAGTTTTAACTGTTCCCTCGGGCCCAAATCCCAATGCTCTATATTCCAGAACAAGATGAAGGACATATTTTAAATCCTGGGGTCAGTTTGATTCTAAAATGTATATGTCTATCTACAGCAGATGTGGCCCGAGTTAGTAGACAGGTAGACGGGTAGACAGACAGAATTTACAATTCATTTATTTAGAAGTAGCATTGAATTCAAGGAAAACATTGCGGGATGCATCTAAAAACATTCCATTTGCGAGCAAATACTTTTTTGCCGGAAACCAAGTGGTGTGGCCGGAAATGAGTTGAAAGTAAGTTGTGAAGTACTGCCTGCCATCATGGAATTTTAAATCTTCGAAATCGCTGTGCGGATAGATTTAAACATTCAAAATTTTACATTGAAATGGCTGACGGTTTCTATGCAGAACGAATCGGCTATTATTTTAACTCCGTAGATACGCATTGCTATCATTTAGCAAATGTAAAATTAGGGTTATCTAATTTTCTATCATTTGTTACTGTGTTCGAAAATTATTTGCGTATTTCACTGCTATGAATTTTGATTCAAGTTAGACCAAACGTTGAATTATACAAAACTGCGGCTACAATTAGTTCAACATCTCCTTAAAACATGGTGTCGTTTCTTATTTGACTCACCTTTGCATTATTCTATCTTTCTTTCATTGATTTTCTTTCTTTCTGATTTGCCTCATCTTAATATTATTCATTCTATCTTCCTCTCATTCATTTTATTTCTGCTATTATTTATTTTGATTCCTATTATTTTCTTTCTTTCTTGCCTCACATTAATAATATTTTTCTATCTTCCTCTCATTCATTTTATTTCTTTCCTTATTTCTTTTGATTCATATTAAGCATTTTCTTTCTTTCTTTCTTTCTTTCTTTCTTTCTTTCTTTCTTTCTTATTTGCGTTACCTTAATAATATTCTTTCTATCTTCCTCTCATGCATTTTATTTCTTTTATTCTTTCTTTTGATTCTTATTCATCATTTTCTTTCTTTCTTTCTTTCTTTCTTTCTTTCTTTCTTTTTTTTTTCTTATTTCTCTCCACTTAATAATATTCTACCTTCCTTTCAGTCATTTCCTTTCTTTTGATTCATATTAACTATTTCTTTTCTTTTCTTCTTTCTTTCTTATTTGCCTCACATTAATTATATTCTTTCTGTCTTCCTTTCATTCCTTTCTTATTCTCCTTAATAAACTTCCTTCTATATGCCCTTTTATTCATAAAAAAAATCAACATGTACGCCATTGCATGTTGCATTGTATACCGATGCAGTAAAGGCTCATACATGTCAGTCATGGTTTAAAAAATTTATAAATCACGGCTGTGTAATCCCAAAAGCCGTGCTCTGGAAGACAACACACTCTGAATGAAGACATTTTGAAAGAAACTAATGAATTAGATTCACGCCATAGCCGGAGGGATTTGGCGCAAGAAACTTAATGTGTCATGTTCAGCTAACCAGAAACAATCGAAGCTAAATTCGAAAATTTGTAAAGTGGGAATTTGGCTTGAAGGCATATCACAACGTATCCCCCATCTGAGCAGTCTTCGATCCAGGAATGTCAAAATTTCACGTATGCATCGCATTGTCACTGGTGACGAAAATGGGATTTTCATATTGACAGAAAAAAGAAATGACAATCAGAACATGAAAATCTTGTGCCAACCGCAGAATCAAGAGATCATCCTCGCTTTTTGTAGTGATATATGAATATTTCGTCCATTAGGAGCTTCTGTAACATAGAAGGATCATCATTGCAGACGTTTATTGCAAGCAAGTTGAACATGTAAACGAAGTAGTACGTCGGAAGTGTCCTTTTTCGGCAAAAGAAAACAGTGTCATTATGCAGCATAAGTACGCAAGGGCCCATTCGACACAAGAAAACCTAAAAAAAAAGATTGTTATAATAGCAGGTTATTCCGTATCATGCTCATCAGATTTAGAGCCCAAAGATTTGCTATTTTTTCTATCAAGAGGACATTTTAAACGACATAAAATTCAGAATCAAAGAAGAAAAAAAAAAAAAAGAACTTTTTTCATGAAAAAAACATATATTTCATTAAACGTGTAATCGAAAACATGCGTTCTTATTTGGCGGCATTGTTCTTATATGGAAATGAAGGTAATTAGATTTTGAATCACATCTAAAATATATATTTAAGATAAATTTTTATACCCTTTATCGAAGAACATACTTTCCGAAAACCCTAATAATTATAGCAATTTTCTAAACGTATCTTAGATATGTTACAAAGCCAGATATATGAAGCAACCAGTCAAGATTGAACTTAGTAATCCGTCATAATTGATCTAGCGAGGCATGTTTGCTAACCATTACATCACATACAAGTGCCCACCGACTTGCTAAGCCTAGATTAGTTGTGGCATAGGACCGCCTGTATGAAGAAGCCAGTGATAGATTGAACTCACTAGTCAGTTGTAATTGATCAAGAGAGAAAGGTTTGCTGACCTTTACACCGCGTTGAATTGCCCAAACATTTACTAAGCCGAGGTTTGATGTGGGTCAGCGTCGCACTTATGGAGCGCGCAGTGAGGGATCGAACTAACTACTCAATCGTAATTTATCTAACAAGACGAGTTTGCTAATCATTGCACAACGTCGAATTGCCGAAGGATTAGCCTAGATGTGGCACACAGTCGGAAAAAAATCGTATACCAATGACGATCGGACTCATAATTCAACGATCAATGGTCTACGGGGATAAGCTTACTAACCGTAAAATAATGTCTAAACGTACAACAATCTTCTAACCATAATTTAGATGTGGCACACGCCCGGGAAAATGGCGCACCCAGTAAGGATCGACCTCATTACTCAGTCGTAATTAAACTAACGAGATAAGCTTGCTAAACATTACACTCCGTTGAAGCACCTTCCTTCATATAAAATAGAGATACGTCATGTGCATTCCTGAGGATAGCTATTCTATTTTTACCCAGGTTTTGTTAAATCATATATCTTTGTATTTATTTTGTTTTCTCTTATAAAATATAGTCGTTTGGGGGACAATAATGAAAATTTTATTTGGATTATGTTTGATAGTTATCTTCCATTTTACAAGTTTTATTAATTTAATGACTTGCTATGGTAATGACGTTGGGTATGGCTCCGAACTTTGGAGGTGATCCTGAGAAATACTATGGTAAGCAAAAATCAAATACTCTTGCTCGGATTACAAAGCGTTTTCTGAAATATATACAACAGATCAGGGTATTCATTGTCAAACTATAATTATCGAACAATGACAAGCTGCAAATGTGTCACATCAACTCCAACCGCTTATCTTTATATATACGTGCCCAGTTCTATTGCTGTAGGAAAAAATAACAATCCAAAGCCATGGACGTAAGTTTATTAATCCATCCGTAAAAAGAAAATGAAATTGCTGTCACAAACAATGAACATAAAATTATTAACCCAATTTGCATTTTCCTTCTTCCAACGTGACAAGCTCTCACCTTCCTAAAAATATTTTCTCTTTCCGCCGTATTTAAAACCATCGCTCGTCCCTAAGTCTATTTACTTTTCTAGAGATTTCTTCCTCCCCAATTGAGAGGTAACCTTTTATAATATTGTGTAGTTATTTCCTCTGCCTATTAATTTTCCTTCTTTTTTATATTTAGAGGGTGAATATTTAATATTTACAATCACTCGCAACCTTAAATAAAATAAATAAACTCGATGGATGAGTGAGGAATGCAACACAAGTAAATAAAAAGAACGAACAGAGACTACAAAGAATATAAAAGGAAAAGGCATGACCTTGATTCAAGTGGAACGTCTAAAAAGTTACACATAATTTTCTTATTGTAGCCTTGAAATAAGTACAACAGACACAATTACCCTCTGAAGTAAAAAAAAAAATACTCGTCAGGTTTTTAGATCAAGAAGAACTATGACCGATATTATAAATGAATTCGATATGCAGCGCGTTTTGTTCAATACGAGGCTGATCATCATGGATCGGTGTTTCATTATGATATGTCCGTAAGCTGTAGATAATAAAAATAATAATAACATGCGTTATAAATACTAATGAGAACTCCATTTGAAGCTATGACACCATTAGTCCATTTTGCGTTAGGTGATATCTCAGTTCTCTAATGGATGCTTTTCTAAGTGGGGCGTATTTCGTGTGTGTATTTTATAATTGCTATAGGGTCCGACTGACTGTGTGGTTGGTTGAGTGAAAGTTTCCATAATGATACACTCCTGCATTATTTTCATCTGGCTAACTGATATTTTTTACATAATTTACGATTGTGGAGAAGGGTAGTTACGAACAGTCTTGTTTAGTTTTTTTTTTTTTTGTAAATATGTATTTTTTCACATTATAAATACACATTGGCATAGGTAGATTTATGTTATGGCGCAAATACACAAACAAAAATTCTACATATGCGGACTAGTTAGGATTTTATAGTGAAATTGTAGTAAAGAATGGTATGCAAGAATGTTACGTTATGGTGAATGGAAGAGTAATTGGTTAATGACTGAAACGTGTTAACTTGAACGTAGGGTAGGTGAAGCACATCCCTCTTCTCTGAAATCTGGCTTGTGCCATATTTGATGTAAAATGGCCATCAATAAACACCGAAAGGCCACCATATAACATTCCTCGTACAGAAACGGTATGAACTCGAGCAACCGTCAATTCTAGAATGTGAAATTTTTTTGAGATTTCATATTATCCACAGTATACAATCTACCTTTCGAATATAATAATAAAAGACTTAAAAAATATAAGCACTCATCGATATGGTCATTATCTCTGATAAATATATTAAAACATTTTGACAAACATATAAAATCTGGAAATAGAAATATATATAATCACTTATTTAAACAATTATTCCAGTAGTAATAGCTGCAGAAATTTAAGTATTTACGTAGTAAAGAGGGTTTCCAAAAATTAGATATCCTTTGAGATCGAAATATCTGAGTAACTTCACTATGAAAGAACTCATATATCTAGACAAATGAAACTAGACAGGTTTATGGCTGGGCGCAATAAGATTTATTCATCAAAATTTGAAAGAAATTCAAAGGTATGTCGATTTCATGAATAACTTCACAAGTTCTCAATATGCGCACTGTCTGTGACATGGCATACGTCAAGTCTCTAGTCTAAATTCTGCCAAGCTCACCGCAAAATGTTTTGGGTAACAATGACCAATGCGACAGAGACTGTGCTCAGGAGTTCCACTAGGCTTGTAGGGAGACGGGTGACACAGACCAGTCCCTTCACATAAAACGAGAGATAAAAAATCAAAACGATTTCTCTATTTCAGTGAATAAAATTTCTATAATTTAAATAAAAAAAAAATGAGTTTTTTTTTGTTTTTTTTTCTACGGATGTTGTAAAAAATAGGATCGCTGGAATGAGAATTGAGCAAATTATTAGATTACGAAATCATATCAAGAAATCATCATGTATATGAAAATAAGAGGCAGGATGGAGTAATGGATAGCGGCACAGATTGGGAAAACGCAGAGTGGGGTTCAAATTCCAGTTGGTTCAATTACATTCACTCACGTGCTAATACCCTTCGGAAGGACATGAATCTTCTTTTCTCCCCTCCCCCAGCAGGATAGATTGGGTTCTATAGGAAACCCCTATAAAGAAACTCTGAATTGGAGAGTGTGTTCTATTGAAGTACACGTGATGCCTCACATGGGTCACGTGCTAATACCATTCGGAACGGTATGAATCTTCTTCCCCCCCCCCAGCAGGATAGATTGGGTTCTATAGGAAACCTCTATAAAGAAACTCTGAATTAGAGTACATCTGATGCCTCTACAATCCTAATGGGTCACGGGATTCGCGATAAATTTATGATATTAAAAACTTCGGAAATAGTCGTCTATATTTATGAGGATAACAAGAGATTCTTTTTAGAAGATAAGTCAAGTCTCATATGAACAATGCGTGCATCTCCCAACGTTCAGGTCTCGTTAGAACGCACTTCCTACTTTACATAAATGATCTGCCGAAGAGTATACCACGATAAATTTTATCAGTATATAGGTGCACCTCCCAAACCCTCGATGGACAGAGTTCGGCA